AATCAAAGTGCTTATCAGCAAAATACATTGCCACAACATCTTTGTACTTGGCCTTGCCATAGGAACAGACCTTCCAGTTGGGGTCAGCAGGGATGACAATGACCCTGATGGAGAACAGCCTACACAAGGCCTTGAGCTCAGCTTCGCCACTGCCACTGTACTTGCCAGGCAAGGCAACTTGCGCAACAAAGGCATCCCAGTCCGGCAAGGCAGTGCCATCAGGACCGGGACGACCGTCACTGGACCATGCAGGCTCATAGTCCTCCTTGTGTCTGGCAAGGTGCTCAGCAACACGGGCACGAGGGTCAAGGTGGTGGAACGCCTTGGGCTGCTCCTTCAGCCAGCGCAGGCCATCGCCAACGGCATGGTACATGCAGTTGCCATCCTTAGCGGCCGCCTGCGTAACACAACCTTTGGGCACCTCCCGGACTGTAACCTTCTGCCTCTTTGCCGCGGCGTCACTATCAGCAGTCTCTAGCTTCGGCTTGTCCTTGACGGCAGAGGCCCCCGCAGAAGGCGAGGCGTCACCTTGCATGGTCGCATCCTCCGAAGCAGCTTCCTGGCAGGGCTTCACCGGCAAACTTTGAACAACCGGCGTGAAGATATCAGGAGTCGGCGTGACGAAAGGCAGGGCACCTGTCTTGATGCGCTTCTGTTTTACTTGCTCAGCCTTGGCAGGCGCCAAACTGGCCCACAACATAAGCTGGGATCCATCCCCATCCTGAGTGGCTATGGGCAACAAATCGCATTCAGCCCCAGCCGTGGCCGCACCCCTGAACAAGAAGGTTTTGTCGGCTCCACGGGTGCGCTGGCGGATCATGCGGACATCCTGAAAATGGTCTTCAACAACAGCCGAGGCTTGCGCAAAGTCCCATGACTTAGGGCGTCCATTGAGCTGCCACACACGAGGAAAACAGGTCTCAGCCGTCGTCGGCCTCTTCCACCCAAGCTTGCTGCCGTGCACGGCGAGGCCCAAAGTTTGCACACGGCTCGCCCTGGCAAAGTAGTCCTTGTCGGACTCCTTGGGATGGCGACCTTTTCACGTTGTCCGGCCGGTGGCAAGACGAAAACTCCGGCCTCACCAGACTTGGCAAGAAGAGTGGGCAAGTCACTCAGGGGTGCCCTGAGTATCCCGAAAACCTGTTTGGCTCCGTTAGCCGCTTGCTCTTCCGCCCAATTCCATGAGTCGGTCAGCTGCACATGATGGCCGGTTGCCCAGGTGGCAATGGCAAGCTTGGGGCTCTTGCTGAAAGCCTGCCAGCGGTCAGCAGAAGCAAAGGCCTGAGGCACCTTCACAAAGAGAACACCTGTCACCTTACTCTCAACCTGCTTGGAGACACACAAACCTTTGATGACGACGTGCATTGCGCAGCAAGGCCGTCGCGAAATCGAATAAGCGGGCCGATGCGGCCAGGGATGGACTGTCGCACGCCCTCCTCCTTGGCCAACTCATGGTCCTGAAGCTCCTTCTTGGACAAGTCAACTGCAACAAGCAGGGCAGAGTAAGACCGACCCGATGCGCCCAGGATGCGGCGCGCGACCGGTATGTCCGACGCCTTGCAATGAACAACAGCTTCAAATACTGTCTTAGGGTCGGCCGCTTCAAACTTGGACGCGAGGTTAGAGAATGAGCGGGCTCCCCCAATCTTGTGGTCTGAGCACAAAATCCTCAGTTTTGGGCTGCTGTGACCTTGGCTTTTCCTTTGCCTTGGCCCTTACCTTGTCCCTTACCTTTGCCTTTGCCCTTGTCCTTGTCTATTGCCGAGGCAGGCGCGGTACTGGGCGATGGGGCCTGGCTGCTGGTCCCTCCAGCGCCCCCTTTTTTGGCGGAGATGCTGAATTTGTCTACTTTTGGCAGTGCGACGAGACAAGTGAGGCTCCGAGTGGCCGAGCTCAGGGTGGCAGTTGTGTCTTCCAGTGCTTCCGCTTTTGTGTTGAACGTTGCGCACCTGTACCTGAAATGCCTGTGCTCCAACCCCCGGTGTGACATCGCGTCGGGCAAGAGCGCCTTCCTGGCATCTGACCGCCTGTGCCTCCTGGCACCTCTGACCTGTGGGCCTTGCCGGCCAGGGGCTGCTGCCCCTGCTCATGGCCATGGCAACTGGCAGACCTGGGCACCTACCTGACCGATGCAATCAGAGCTTGCATGTGGATGGCACACGAAAACACAACTGCCAACATGAGCTCGGCCAGTCAGAGCCTCACTTGTCTCGCCGCACAGCCGAAAGTAGATGAATTCAGCATCCTCGCATTGGACAAGAGCTGTTGCAAGCGAAATGCTGAACCCGCCTGGCAGACCTCGATGGCGCCAACCCGGGCATCGACACTGCCAACAGTTCCTCCTCACACCTGAGCGCAAATTTGACCTGCGCCATCAAAGCGTGTACTGCTTGCACCTGCCTCAGCCTCAGCCTTGCTCACCTGTACCTTACGGGCATGTGCGCCTGCTCCTGACGCGGCGCCCCCTGGACCTGAGACTGGCATTGCTCCTGTCACCTGTGACCTACTTGCTGGCCAGGGCTGCTGCCCCTGGACGTGGCCCTTGCGACCTGCGCCAAGAACCTGGCGCCTACCTGACCTGTGCAATCAACGCTCACCGCTTGACCTGGTCTGGCTGACCCTTTGCAATCAAGAACCTGAGGCTCCTGCATCATAACCCTGTCCTGACAAGCAGAGTCTTGGCTGAACAGGGCCTGCCACGGACCGTGCTGGCCAGAAACGGCTGCCTCTGGGCGTGGTCCTGTCCATTGCCTGCGCCTGCCTGGGCCTCGGCGCTGCACATCTGTACCTGGAAGGCCTGTGGGCACCTGAACCTAGAAAGGCATCAGCGTGGGCACGGCACTTTCTTGGCGACAGTCTGCCTGCAACCCTGAAACCTTGGTCCTGTGAACCCTGCTGGCCAGGAGCTGCAGCCCCTGGACGTGGCCATGGCAGCCTGCAACACATCCACTCTCGTCACACGGCTGTCTCCGGACATGATCCTGAGCAGTCGCCCTCTGGTCCTCGAAGGCTTCGTCGGGGTCCAGCTGTGCCATGGGCGCACTCTATCGCCTCCTCCACAGCACCTGCGCCGTTGCCGGTTGCAACTGTGCAATGTTTCTGCTCATTTTTGGCAGCAGCGTCATCAGCCGCCAGCGCATACTTGGAGACTGCATGTAGGCCACAGGCCCACGAAGATCGCCAAGCATGCCATTCGACCTTGACAACCACGTCAAGAAACTCTTAGCTTCCGGGGTCAAGCATGCACGCAACGGCCGCAACCAGCCGTCCTCTCGAGGAAGAACACTGCCTGAGCTTCCCACCGTCTCCCACAACAGCGAGGAAGCATAAGCTTTCTTGCACCACTTTCTCGCCATCGGCATCCCAAAAGCCCATGACAAAAGACCGGCGCTGTGACCAGCTTGGTGGCTGAGGACCCCCAAGCCCATCTTCACTCCAGAACTGCGCGGCAAAGCGCTCCCCCCCGATGAAGGGGCCATGACCATCCACGCGAGGTACACTCAGCAGCTAGCAACCCCAGTCTAGCTCCCGCAATGGACCACTTGGAGGTGGTACCCTTTGAGCCAAAGCTTTGCTAAGGGACCCTACAGGTACTTGCTAGTAGCCATAGACACTTTCAGCAAGAAGCTCACGGCAGTCCCTATGGCAAATAAGGAAGCGGGAACGACTGCCAGAGCATGGGATCAAGTCGTCAAAGACCTGGGCGTTCCAAACAATGTCTACGTAGATGATGGCACCGAGTTCAAGAAGGAATTCAAAGCCAAGTTAGACTACTTTGACATGGACAAAGTGGTCACTCGGGGCCACGCCACGGTTGCCGAGCGAGCGATCAGGACCTTGAAGGAGGCTCTTGTTCGAAGGCTCACGGCTGGGGTGGGACAGAGGAACCGGTGGCGCTTGCTGTTACCTGACATCTTGGCTCAGTACAATGAGAAACCGCATTCCACAACAGGACTGGCTCCTGATGATGTGTATGAGGATCCTGCGCTAGCCAGCCGAGCCCTACGGCGTATGAAGTGCAATGCTAAAAGAGGCGCAGAGCCACGACCCGAGATAGCCGTAGGAGACCTGGTTCGGGTGAGGGTTAAACCTATCAAGGGCAGGGGCGCCTACAGGGTTACAGAAGTGGCTTGGAGCGAAAAAGTTTACCAGATCGCTAGAATTGAGTACTTAGATGGCGGACCCTACTTCCTTCTCGAGGGCTGGGCCGGAGGCAAACTGCTTCGCCGAGACCTGAGAAGAGTGCAGGCTCAGCGTGAAAGGCTATTCCCCACGCAATCAAGAGATCTGCGCACAAGACAAGCTGCGCAAGCACGCAGGGCGCCAGCCCCGGGACCCATAGCACCACCGTGATGTTCATTTTTCTGGCTGGGGAGGTGCTCTGACCACGGTTCGGTAGCTGGACTGAGCCTGTGCCTGTGCACGCAGCAACGACAAGAGATTGTGTCTGTAGATCGCTACCTGTCCTGAGCTTACACAGACAAAAATCGCTGACTTAAGAAATCTGTACGCGTCAGCCCGAAGGTTCCTGATGGCTGCTCTTGCGTTTGCGGTTCTCCAACTCTTCGCCATTGCCGACGTAGGAGAGGTTCATGAGCTTGCCCTTGAATGATCCCGTCGAGCCAGGCTCCCTGCGCAAGAAGCCAACGTCCCCGGTAATGTAGCTCAAGACGCGGTGGACCAGATGCTGTTCGTGCTGAAGCTTTTCCACGGTCTCCGCAAGCAACAGGATGTTCTTGTAGTGCCCAAGCGGTCTGGACTGGTAGGCGTTCAGTTGGTACACCTTCAGGCTCACCGCGCTTAGCCCCTTCTTTGTCTGAGGCACGACCTCCGTGACATGGTTCTTAGACTGAAGGCGGTTGAAGCTAATGGAGTGCTCATGGTGCTTCTCCACCATATCCCGAAACTTCTGATGCTTGAGCGTCTTCCTGACGACCTTCGGCGCGCCCTTGGCACGGGACTTGTTCTTGCCGTCCGACTTCTCAACGGAGTACATCTTGGGGCCTACTCCCACCCACTCGACGATCTTCAGAAGCGCAGCCTCATCCGCGAAGTTGCCCAGTTCGCCCGCGCGCGCGAGGGCCGTCTCGCGATTGGCCGGGCCCAGATCGGCCAAATGCTCCTCCAGAGCAGCGCCTTTTGCATCGCCCGCAACGTCGAAGAAGAGGTCGCCGCCCACCGCGTTCCTGGCGGCCAGGTCGTGCTTGGGGTCTCTGCCATCAAAGATCTGAACGGCCGAGCTATCAGTGTCACCACCCAACCACCTAACACGACTGGACGTTGGCCGCAGCTGCCACTCCGCAGGCTTCTCCGGGTCCATGGGCACAGGGTCCACGTTGTGGGCCAAGTCTCCGTCAAAGATGCGGCGGATCTCGTAGTGAAGCCTGAGCA